TGAAGTGATTTGGGTGTGAGTGTTATTTTCTCAACTGTTTGAAGACAGCTAGGGATCACTTGCAATGGTATTTGCTTCCAACTGAGGTTTATCGGCATTATAATTTTGTCGGTTGCGTAATATCTATTCTCTGCCTTGAATCCTACAAGTCACTCTGGGATTGTTTACAAAAAGTAGCGTACACCATCAGCAAGAATAGAAACAACGGAAGAAAAAGTATCTTTCGTATTGAAAACGATAGCAACAATGCTTTGGAACATCGATGTGTTTGGCATCTGAGAAACCTCTGAAGAAGTCTTAACTTGTGTCGGGGTCAAGAGAGGATCTGGTGTCTGTATTATTTAAGACGTGGTGTCCTTGGGGGCCTCATATTTTATTTATAGCTACTATCCGTGATGCAGTTTAGACTGGGGAATTGAAACTTCCCAGCAGAAAACAATTCATTTCAGTGTTGTGGCCAGGAAAACTGCACAGGTGTGAGACACTGGGAGTCCAATCCAATTCAAAGACACATTTACTTTTTCTTCACCCCCACAGGCCATCACTCTGCTAAACAGATAATTCCCACAACAGTGTCAAACTATTTATTAAGACTATTACTATTATTCTTCTCATCTTTCGTATTACCTACTGTATCTCCTCCTACTTATGACTATAACCTTGTTGCTTGTACCTTTATGATTTATATTGTTTATTTAGTTTCCTAGTGTGATTTTGATTGCTTATTTAGTATCCTGTGACTATCACTAAGTGTTGTATCTTAGGATTCTTGATGAATGTATTTTTATGTACACTGAGAGCTTATGCACCAAAGACAAATTCCTTGTGTATCCAATCACACTTGGCCAATAAAGAATTATATTCTATTCTACTCTACTCTACTCTTATTCCTTATTCTATTCTTATTCCCTATTCTACTCTACTCTAGTCTGATTCCTTATTCTATTCTTTACTCTACTCTACTCTAATTCCTTATTCTATTCTTATTCTCTACTCTACTCTTATTCCTTATTCTATTCTTATTCTCTACTCTACTCTACTCTTATTCCTTATTCTATTCTTATTCCCTATTCTACTCTACTCTAGTCTGATTCCTTATTCTATTCTTATTCTCTACTCTACTCTACTCTAATTCCTTATTCTATTCTTATTCCCTATTCTACTCTACTCTAGTCTGATTCCTTATTCTATTCTTATTCTCTACTCTATTCTACTCTACTCTACTCTACTCTAATTCTTTATTCTATTCTTATTCCCTATTCTATTCTTTAAGAGAAAGCACAGTCATAGCAATTGGTAGTGGAAAGCCAATGTTAGTTGACCCTGAAAGGCTAAACCTATACAATATATGACTGGAAGGCCAGCTGGGAAGGTTGCAACTTATTCTGTGCAGTCATAAAAACATCCCAGGAAAATGCAACAGTACATCACCTCTATAATGCCACCCGTAAAAAAAAACTGATTGTGGTCACGGAACCCCAGGAGTTGAGCTCAGCTCAAGAACGTCAGCTCAAGAAAGTCCTCAACCCAATGACTATAATTGGGATCAGAACTTCCGTTGCTAAGCGAGGCACTTGTTAAGTGAGTTCCACCTGCTAGTACAACCTTTTTTGCTGCAGTCATTAAAGAAGTCGACCCAGTCATTAAGTGAATCACGCGGTCATTTAGCAAATCTGGCTTCCCCCGCCCCCGACTTTGCTTGTTAGAAGCTGGCTGGGAAGGTCTTTAGATTAACAGAGTTGGAAAGGACCTTGTGACCCTGGAAAGGTCATATAGTCCACCACCACCCGCCCAAGCAGGAGACCCTACACCATTTCTGATAGATGGCAATCCAGTCTTTTCTTGAAAGCTTCCAGTGATGAAGCTCCCACAACTTCTGAAGGCAATTTCTGTTCCATGTTCTCACTGTCAGAAAGTTTCTCCTTATTTCCAGGTTGAATCTCTCCTTGTTCAGTTTCTATTCATTATTCCTTGTCTGGCTCTCAGATGCCTTGGAAAATACCTTAATACCCCTTCCTCTCTGTGCCAACTCTTCAAGTATTGGGGCACTGATCTCATGTCTCCCCTGGTCCTTTTCTTCACTAGACTAACCAGGCCAAGTTCCTGCAACCGTTCATCGTATGTTTTAACCTCCAGCCCCCTAGTCATCCTGGTTGCTCTTCTCTGCACTTTTTCTAGAGTCTCAGCCTCTTTTTTTAATAGAGTGGTGACCAAAAACTGGATGCAGTATTCTAGGTCACCAGACACCAATTTTAATCACGTGGCCACGGGGAGGGTGCAAACGGTTGTAAGTGCAAGGACGTAGGTCATCGGTCATTATTTTAATCGGGGGCCCAACTGTACCTTTTACTAAATGTGGAGCAGTCTCCATCCTTGAATAGGGGAGGTTTTTGTTCCCCAAGCTTTTTGCAAAATGTCATTTATTTTCCCGCTGCCTCTGAAGATCCTGCAAGTCATTCTGCTTTTTCTGGCAGCTTGCAAATTCCATCTCATTTTTCAACTGGCACTAAATCTGCGTGGGTGGTTACGAGGCTTTGTACTTTGGGCTTCTGCAAAGCTGTTTGCGGTCTGCAGTCACTGCCTACTGGTATTGTGAGGGTTGCAGGAACAGAACTTGGTTTTCTTCGCTGCTTCTGTTCTTTTCCAAACACCTTTAAGTTTCTTTTCCTACCTCCTCTGCCTATGAACCAAAATATATTAGCGGTCTTGCTATTAAAATGCAAAGAACCTGAACAGAGTAGGAAGAACGAACGTGATGTTTCACGAATCCTTAGAACTTCCTGCAACTATGCAAATGTTTTGATTTTTTTTAAACTCTTTTTTTTTTAATTGCCTTTGCATACAATGCAAAATGTATTAAAGGCTATAATTCCCAAACCCGGTTGCCCTTAAGGTGCAATCAACAAGTATTGCTTTTCTAACTTACTGTACAGCATTAAAGTCCAGAAGATTATATTTGTTTTGATTCAGTTTTAATGGTTAGAAGCTTAGCCGGCATTAGCAAATATTCAGTTTTGGTCACCACGATGTAAGAGAGATGTTGAGACTCTAGAAAGGGTGCAGAGAAGAGCAACAAAGATGATGAGGGGACTGGGGACTAAAACATATGAAGAATGGTTGCAGGGACTGGGTACGTCTAGTCTAGTGAAGAGGGTTGACATGATAGCAGCATCCCAATGTCTCAGGGCTTCCACAGAGAAGAGGGAGTCAAGCTATTCTCCAAAGCACCTTAAAGGCAGGACAAGAAGCAACGGGTGGAGACTAATCAAGGAGAGAAACAATCTAGAACTAAGGAGAAATTTTCTGAGTTACAACAGTAACAGTTCCAATTAGTGGAACAACTTGCATCCAGAAGTTATGAATGCTCCAACACTGGAAGTTTTTAAGAAGAGGTTGGATAACCATTTGTCTGAAATGGTATAGGGTTTCCTGCCCAAGCAAGGGGTTGGACTAGAAGACCTCCAAGGTCCCTTCCAACTCTGTTATTCTATTCTATTCCTATTCCTATTCCTATTCTGTTCTGTTCTGTTCTATTCTATTCTATTCTATTCTATTCTATTCTATTCTATTCTATT